TAACATGAAAATACCAAGCTAGTAATTTAAATCACAATGATCACATTCAGTCTCTGAGAACAAAAAAAAAAACACAAATTTGGGGGCTGGGGATTTAGCTCAGCGGCATAAGCACCTGCCTTGCAAGTAGGCAGTCGTGAGTTCAATCCTTGGTACCGATAAAAAAGGAAAAAGACAAAAAAATAAATAAAAAAAAAACCACAAATTCACAGCACCTGGAAAACAAGAAGTTAAAGGATCCACTGAGTGACAGTGAAACGACAGTAATGTCAAGAAAATACAGGGTTTTAGGAAGGAATGCAGGAATACAGGGTGAAGCTACAGACACTAATGACTTTGTTACTCAATGTCCAGCAAGTGTCTTTTTATTAGGTTTTGAAGTCATGGAGGAAGTGGCCATACTGAGAAAACAAAGCAGAAAGAAGTGGCCCAAAGGCACTTCTTACTCCACTGGAAGAAAATGTCTTTTTTTTTCCCTGTCACTTTCAGCTCAGGCATTTAAAGGGCCGACTTCTCTCTAGTCCTCACTCTCAGAATCTAAGACTCTAAATCTAAAGACATAGCCTAAATCTAAATGTAGCCTAAATCTAAAGACCCAGAAGTACAGATTCCTCTCTCCGCAACAGAGGTCTCCAGCCTTGCCTCCTGTGGCTCCACCCCACCCTGGTCTTCAGTTCCCACCATTTTAGCCTGCTGATTCCCTTTACTCTCTTACATCCCAATTTCAAACTCACAGCCCTCCCAGCTGCAAGTCTTTCTCCTGCTTCAAGGTTCCCCTGGCCCCTCCTTTTACAATCTCCCAGAGCCCTCAAACAAGCCTGCCTGATTCTTCCCTCCAGGACTTCTTTAAATACCTTGCAATTACCTCCAATAGCTGGTGCTCCTCTGGGCCCAAGTCACCCACACACACCCCCAGCCATGACTCTCTAGGGGTGACCATGTGATTATTCCTTCCCTCAGGCCTCCTCCTTCACTCCATGTGATCTTCTGCACCTGCTTCCTTAGGGTCTTCTTGATGTCTCCTGATCTCTGGCCCTGACTCTCTGTTTTTCTTTCCCAAGACAGTGGTCTCCCCACATCTGTTCCTCTGCCCCATTCCCACTCCATCTACTCCACAACCCCATCTCTCCAGATCTGCACTGTAGAACTCAAGTCTCCCCTGTAGGGCTAGTCCTCTAGTCTCTGTCTCTGTCCCTCTTGGACTCTGGCTCCACTCGACCTCTGCCAGTCATTTCCCTTCTCTGGTAGTCGCTACTGACTCTCCCCTATGTCTCTCCCTTCTAATTTTTCTTTTTCCCTCTTCATCTCCTCCCTTCTCATCCCATCCCAGTCTCTCTGGATCAGGCTCTTCCCCCTTTTCTCGCATCTCTCCTGGGTCTGACTCTAGTGTGGGTTCCTCTGCTTCATCTTTTTCTGGGCCCAGGTTCCCTCGCTCCCTCCTTCTCCCTCGCTTCCTTGGCTCTCTCTGGCTCCCTCTCAGAAAATGTTTTTTCTAAGCGTCTTCAGCTGGGCTGCCATGGCCACCTTGATGTCCTGAATCAATTTAAAATTTACCTCTCACGGTCATTTTGACTTTAGGAAGAGCCAGAAGTCACATGGTTTCACATCCAGTGAATAAGGCAAATAAAAATATACCATAATAGTTTTTATGAGCCTACCTTTCCACTAGATTTTTAAAAATCACATCTCATAAAGACACTCAGAGGAAAAAACAAAAAAAAACCTTCCAGAGCTGCATCAGAAAGTAGCAAGGACAAGGACAATGAGACAGGATGTTCCAAACAGTGGGAGTACTTAGAGGAGAATTAAAGGCAAAGTATCTTTTATTGTAATAAATTGTTAAAACAATTTAAACGGTAAATATATGTTTAGCATACCTTGTACTATGATCAACAAAGATTGCACATCCTAAATTACAGAAAGTTTATTATGCTTTCTGTAAGTCTCGTAGACAAGAGCTTTACAAGGAAAGGATCAGAGTACCAATCCCAGAATAGCTGTCAAGTGATCCAATTAAGAATAAAATTTATACCTATATTTGCTTTAAAGAGTTTCCTAAAATTGCAAATATTGAAACAAGTAAACAATATATTATATATAAACATTTGTTTAAAAAAAAAATTCAAGGCATGTCCTTGAAAAATTTTCTGACATGTCCAGATGCTACTCTTTAAGAAAGGGAAGTGATGCATGGGAAAAATCAAGTGCAAGATGAACAAACGAGCAGGGCCACCCAGTGTTCCACACTGTCCCACGCACGGATCTGTGACCTCTCCATAGGAGCATGCTGAGAGTCAGGCCTCAGGAGTAAGATCTGCACCTGACTTTCACCCACCACTGGAGTCCCCCCAAAATCCAAACTGGAAAGACTACAAAGTGCTGTGCCTTGCTTTTATGGAAAGCTCCAGACATCCCAAATTTGACAGATGGCAATGCATCCAAAGATAGAATACTCACAGCACAATGCAGAGATTCTTAGGTTTTTCAAAGCTGAAAAAGGATGAAGTAAATACAGTATGACTCAAAATTCCATACTTATAAATACTCAAATATGCAGAATACAATGTTGGCTTTTTAAAGGAGCCTCTTAAGTTTGAAAGATAGGAGCTAGAAAAATATTTCTATTGTGAACCAAAATTATAAGATGAATCCTCACAACATTAAGAATTATGTTTAAACAAAATCATGATGATCAACTTTCATATTCTTTGTACCACAGATTTACAAATATTTGTATCCCCTTCCCCAAACATGTGCATGTGCACACACACACACACACACAGCTTTAGGCAGAAGTTGAAGGAGGTCACAGAAGTCAGGGGTTCACCAGTATTTTAGTTTCATCGAAGGCTTTTCAAATGAACTGATCAGAGATGGTACAAACTATACGGCAAATTATCATATACATTGTTGGCTTTTTACTTGTGAAAATAAAGCATAATTAATTTCTGTACATAAAATGCACATTAGTATTATTACAGAAAAGCACAGAATTGCGAAATTAATTACATGTAAACACTGTTAATACATTGATTATTCACTTGTCATATAAATAAACCATCTTTTAATATTAGTAGTCATGGCTCATTAAAAAAGTTACATTTTAAAATATTTCTGATGTTTGGCTAACTGTATTTCATCAAGAGTACGGCTTAAGATTGTCTTTGAATTTCAACCTGGTGATCTTTGATATTTTACAGGATTCAAAGTCAGAAAGCTAAAACTAGAGTGAATTAACTTTCCGAAAGAACACTATTCTGCTTCTTCATTCATAGGTTGACTGAAATGCTAATATATGTGAAAATCAGAAGCATTTGACTGTCAGAAATATTAACAGAATAATTAATTTCCTAAATAATGAAGGCAGGAACGAACTGGAGTTTTAATAGTCATTTAAATTGTAGGAAATTACCATTCAATGAAAAAAAATGAACATTGATAATCTATAAACATCTATAGAACATTTGTTTGTATTGTATTAGTAAGTTGAACAATCTTCTGATACATGTAAATAATGGCTGAGCAGATGGAATGTTAGACTTCAGACATCTACGTTTGTTAACATTTTATAATAAAACAAATTTGTCATCTTACCCTCAGAAAAAATGAAAAAATAATCCAATTACTTGAAATTTGGTTAAATATGAAAAAACAAGAAATATGGGATAACTGGAAATAATAGTCATGTAAAATTGCCTAACATGCAAACATTTTCTAGGTTTAACCTCTATGAGAAACCAAAACTAAGCAAAATCTTAGAAAAATGCATAATTTAAAAATATGAAACATCACTCCTGCCAAGAGTAATGGTAATCAAAATTCTTAAGCCTTATTCCTTTCTAGTTGTAAGAGTCTTCACTGGGGGAAAACAGGTGAAAGAAATCTCATTTTAAGAAATAAATATTTTTTGTATAGCTAATATAATTATTTCAGTTTTACTGAGGCAAACTCATTTTAAAGAAATTGATTCAAAGATGTTTCTAGGTTTTCTGATAGGAAAAGAAAATCATTCTATCACTGAATGACCATTTTAATAAACTTAATTTATAAATTTAAAAATCACATTATGCCCATATACCAAAATCAGTAATAATTAATAAGTCAGTGAAGGAAAAAAATAGAAAAAGACTTATTTAGGATGAATAATTTTAATATGTACAACATTACTTAGGATACATATTTACATTTTCCCTCTTTCATAATATACTTACTTAAAAAATACAAATTAGCTTCTGTGAATGTATACTTGGAAATGAAATTTAAAATAAATTTTGTTTTCAAACACAGAAATATTCAGACATACTATTATGTGAACTGAGTGACTTAACTATGCTAAACCAAAAGCATAGGGTATTTTAAAATTATTTCCAAAGCACCTTTAATACAGAATTTCACATTGAAATTTGTATGAACCTATACAACAAGTCAGTTAACCAAAACAAGTTACAGATAAAAAAAAATCAGCTTTTAAAGAACCATCATTTTATATACCAGACAAGTTTAAGACCAACAGAGAAGCATTTAACTTATAGATCATGCCAGAAATAATTTATATATCAAGTCCATTAGGATCATCATTAATAGGGTTAGTAAGACAAGCACTGAGGGTTAACCACACAGGATTTACTATTAAGTTTTCAAATTTAGGTCAGTGAATACATAGATTGAAACAAAATGATACAGAAACGAATTATACCACCAGGAACATCATTTTCAATACACTTTGTAGACAGCACCCCACTTTCTTCATAAGTAGTGAGGGTAGCAGAGCAAAGAACTAACTAGTAGCTGCACTGAGCGAGATCACATGGTTGACATCTACTGTAAGGGACAATGCCCCACTGCACATTAAGCCCTGCATAAGCAAAGGAAAGAAAAGAAAAAGATTCTGCTCCAGGTTTTCACAGCCATTTGACTTCAGTCCCTGTGTCAAAGTTACTGGTTATGTAAATCCAAAATGACACAAGTCTTTCCCTGAACCCCTTCATTCTGTGACGTACCATCAACACCATCTGCAGTTTCACTTTCTTCTTCTTCTTCTTCTTCTAGCATTTCAAAAGGAGTCATTATATCATAGAGAAATGAGAGGAAACCATAAAACCAATCTGAACTTTCCTCTGCTAAAATATTAAGGACTTCCTCAAGAGAATCAATATTTTCATTACTGCCATCTTTGGTCAGGCCTACATAAGAATAAAGGAAAAGAGAAAGAGAAAATAAGGAGAGCAGTTAGGTGGAAAAACCAGCTGAGGAAGAGTGATGTCAAAAAGGACGTGCATCAAGGTCACAAAAGTTTACAGAAATGGTATATTGGAAAGGAAAGAAGGTGCAAGGTGAGATGCACACCTTGCAGCAACTGTCAAACATATGTGCTACAGGACAGTCACAACATTCCTCATCCGAACAATCTTCGCATGCCTCCCCCGCTAGTAAGCAGTTTGCCTTTTTTCCATTATGGACTCTTAAATTGGAAAACTGACAAAATTGTATCAGCCAAAATTAATAGATGTAATGGGAAGAAACAAAAGCAGTATCAGAGAAAAAGACACAACTGCTGATAATCTCCAGATTCACTAAATTACCAACCAGATATTAGTGAGTTGATTATACAAATGTTTATGTATGTCAATAAAATTCATCAAAAACAAAAAGGCTCTTTTCCGCAAACTCTTAGGATGTGGAGCAAACTTAGAAAACTGGAGCTATGATGATTATCAGGATTACTACTTATGCATCCATAAATGGGCACAAATGCACTTGCATTATGGAACTCAGACAAGACACTTAAATGTTAACACTATTAAATAGGTTAGATCTGTAATACACTGGCAGCTGATTCATAGGCCTTTGATTCTCACCAATAATAAGAATCATCTATTAATAACTTACTCCATCTATCAATAAGAAATTCGATCAAGGCCTCAGCTGGTCCTTTGCAAACTCCTCTTCCCTTCAGCACATGAAATTAGTTCTTTGGCAAAGACTGCCACTTCTATTATTTAAACATTAGTAACAAAAACAGACCCAACCTAATGAAAAGAAATCAAAGTGTGTATTACCACTTTTTCCTGTGACGGGCTGTGAGTAGGAAAAGTCTCGGTGCTCGTAACTATCAAAATCTGCCAATAGTGCCAAGCTATACACACAGCAAGGCCTCATAATTTTGAGGAGAAAAATAGGGTAGCTATCACTGACTACAAGAAATATGAACATCCACAATCCACAGAACTTTTTCTGCTGTAACCCCTCAATTCATTCATTTAAGGATCTGGCACACACAGTCTCTCCACAGAGCAATCAAAATTGACATGCAAAGGTAATGGTGTGATGGCTAATTTAGATTTTAAAGATTACAGTGAATTTTCTCTGCTTTAGTCAATAAAATAAATACGGGATGTCATTCTTCTTGTATATGAAGGAAAGAATACAAATTGCAATTAGTATTCAAGTTATCTTTTGACAAGCCCATAATGTTTTTCACTGAATTTAAGAGTTCACAAATAGCTAGGGATGTAGCTCAGTGGCACAATACTTAAACAGGAGATGTCAATTTCCATTCAAGACTTTGGGAGAAGAAAAGATTTTTCTTCCTGTCTTAAAATATTATATTATTAAATTTTTTTCCCTCTGTGTTCTAAGACAAGTACTTCTAAGTATTAGGTATAAAATATAAACCCATTCATCCTTCAATATAACAGGTTAAAAGGTGGAACAAGTATGCAAAACCATTTAAACAAAACTGTTCAATTAAACAACCTTCCTGTGGTTCTTAACATAAAAGTAGTAGAGAAAGAGAAAAATGCTCTAAGTATATAATATCTTCTTAACCCATAAAAGCAGACCCCAACCAAAGAGCAGGACATCAACGCCACTGCATGGCAAGCACTGGTCCTGCACTCATTCATGGTCCATCCAGCTTACAAATATTTACGAAAGTTCTGAAAAGTGTGGGCTGGCTCTGCTTTTGTGCTCTAGACATACATGATGTGGTGCTAGCTAGGTGTGATCCGTCAGAAGGACAACAAATGGATCCTTAGGTAATGTTACTGTAAGCATTCAGTCCACAGACCATTTCCTGTTGATTTATGTGGGAAACAAGTTTGTAAAGAATGTATTTCCAAACAATATAGTTTCCAATAATCCAAACCAAAATCAAACATACTTTTATTTCAGGTAATTTAGTCACACAAATAGGAAATAATGTAAGGAGGCACAAGCTTGGTATATTTTTAAAATGTAGCAAAGGGTTTGGGCTAGAAATAATGAAATTAATGACAGCTTATAGATCTTGGTTCATTCATACATATTTAGTTCACAGAAAAATGCAAACCTTAAAATGAGACACAAATGTAAACATGAATTATATATTTCCCCAAATTTATATGATTTAGATATATACAAGGTATAAATATTCAGAAAAATATTTATTAAATAAATGTCACACCTGTAAAAGTTTAAACCATGATTATATTTGCCAGGCTAAGCTCTCTTCTCCTATCTTCCTCTTTTCCCTTATATATTCCTTCTCCTTGATCCAAAGCCTATATTCTTCAAATTTAACCTTAAACTTTAAACTGCCATCATAATGAATATGTTCCCAGCAAGTCTAATTTCTCTGGAAAAAATGCACACTGTATTTATACTTCTATACTTTGTTCAGACAAAGGCCACAGAAAGTATGCCAAAATTTCACCAACTTCTGTCTTTGCAGTTACTTGCCTATAGCATAAGTACTGCTAAACTATTATAATCTCCCATGGTAAGGAAGGACTTTAATCATCAAATTCCTGTTATATTTCTATTTCAGACAGAGAATTCAAACAGCATAAAACAGGGTTATAGGTCAGAGACTGACTATTCTCCTAAAGCCTCAAGCTAACTATAAACTAGCACATGCAGTCAGAGTAGTTTCTTTATCTTAGCCTTATCTTTCTTGATGCATTTACCTGTCAACCTATCAAAATGAACACTGAGATTCACCAAATTTGGTTTCATTTCCTGGTACATAATTCTAAAAGTAACAAATTATGACTTATCCATACCATATTTGTCTATCTGAAAACTGTAATCCCCAAAGTTATATTTACTTAAATTCTTAGGTTGGTTAAAAATCTTAAAGGGACTAACCTTTTGGAATCAAGTTGTTAATGTGAAAAAATCAATAAAATATAGTAGGTGAGAAAATTATTTTTAAAAATAAAAGAACTTGGCCCTCACAAATTAACTTAAAATAAATATTCAGAATTCATCACTGAAAGTAATACTTTGGAGTACCAAACAATTTATAACAAGAAAATTACCATTATCGTGATATGTTGTTTGATATAATTTTATTTATTTTGCATGACTAAAATTATAGTCATCTGAGGATTTAAAGTAAGGACAGAGATCCTAATTTGGATACATAATGCCATGTTTACATGGAAAATTTCATTAAGTTAGGAAAAGAAATTTCATGGAAATTTTATAGTAAGTGTCCCCTGCTAAGTGGCAAACATTAATTCCTATTAAGTAGTAGCAATAACAAGAAACATAAACTATGACAAATCAAAGATGTATTACATTTAATCACAAATTTAGGTTTTAAAAATATTTTTCATATTTAGAAAATTTTGTCTTTAAAGGAGATGAAATTTATCTAAAGAAAGCAATTTAATTAGCTGTAAATAAAGTATCCTTCCAGTTTTTCATGCTAATAAAATATACAAAATAGTACTTGTGTAAAAATTTTCTTTGTATTAATATTACAAGGCCATATGTATTATTTGTCTAAATACTTCAATGTAAAGCTTTAATACAGATCATCCTGCATACTAAAGGAGATGCTATTTAAATGCATGAATACATACTTCACTGAGCCACACTATACAAAATTTGCATCTTAAAACCAGCACCATCCTCTAGTAAGACAGCATTTTAAAACAAATGAGGAAATAACACATCTTTTTTTTATTATAGGAAACATCTCAATAATAAATCAAGAGGTAATTTTGATGATAGAGAGTCCAGAGATCTCCATGAGTTAGTCTGGTCAAAACTAATTATTATCTTAATGTCAATTTTAAAATACATAGAGGACATTTTAAGATATTTACTATCATGACTTTATTTCAAAATACTGTAAATTTATGTAGTCTTCAGAAATTTACATTTTTAAGTGAAAGTGAATTATGCTAAATGATGCTAAAAATGGTGAGGATATAAGTATTAGATTCAGAATATGAAGTGCTTTAAATCTGAAAGCACAAATGAAATTTCACTTAATAAAAATGTATGTGAAATGCTATATACCTATTTATAAAAGTAAATTGGAACGTAGGAGTCTTTTAGAAAAAGTCATTTAATATCTCAACAAAAATGTAATGTATTAAAGTGGGTAAATATCTTTCAGAAAATTTTTACAATTGAAATAAATATTAAAGCAGAAACATTCTTCTGGTTCCAGTATTTTTCCATCACTAGCAAAAAATAAAAACAGTACTTGCCTAATAAAACTTTGGCATCATCAACATCAAAATCTCCATCACCATCAGCATCATAAACTCCCAGTTTTCCTGTAACAATCAAGAAATGATAGACACAAGAACAAAAGGGAAAACAAATTTAGTATTGTGATTTACTGCAGTCCTATACACCACCCATAAATGTTATGGATGAATGTAATTCTTTATTCTTTTAAACCTTCAAAGCAGTACCACATGAATATCTTAACCAAGAACCAATATCATAGGCAAGTCAGTTAGAGTCAGGAAATGTTCACCAAACAAATTCTAAGACTGAGATATAATATTTTCTTTAAAGATTAAACAGTACACTGACTGGTCTCATCACTTTTAAAGCAGTAGAACTTTATAATAAAAAGTTAAAACAGTATAATTTTATGTAAACAATAAGATTTATTATACATTAAAAATATTTTAGGTAAAATTCTTAATAGATACAGAAAATAATACTGACTCAATTCTAATAGTTTCATAAAATTAAATATTTCTAGGTAAAGTTTATCATGCTATCAAAATCGGAAGCATAAGAAACATGAAAACAAGCCTCAAAGACTAAATAAATGTATGTACACCTTTTAGTAAAGACTAAATGTGTATAGATGTAAATAAACTAACATGGGAATAAGTGCTAAAAATAAGAGAATTTTTACATTTGATAATAATTACAACCAATATATCTTGAATCAAACTTAAAGAAAAATATGTTCTGGAAATACAGTATATAAAACTGAAGGCTTCATGAAATTACAAAGAAAACTTAACCTACTTAAAAACTAATTAACACTGGCCATCTATTACTAAAGAAAAGAAAGTTTTAAAACAGATCCATTAAGAAAACATCACCAAAAGAAGAGAAAATACATATTTGTATGGTCTTAATGAATTCACATCAGGAAGGCTACTAGGTTTAGTATTTCCAATGAGTTAAATATAGTCAAAAGCATTCTAAAATCAGTATGACTTATAAGCTATCACTGGACAAGGACTATGAAGAAACATCATAATAGGCAATAATCTTTGTGCTAAATTCAACATTAGTGCTAAAAACAACTGGCAATACTATTTCTACTTCTTTAATTAAAAGCACATGATAAGACCGTACAAGAGCAAACAGAAACTTTGGCATGGAGCAGATATGACCCATCTTTATATTCCCAGAGCCCTGGCACTACTTAGGAAAACAATTAACTTGCTATGCAGAAGCCTGATTTATTACACATACGTTGAAAATGATGACAACCATGGAGACAGGAAAGTGTTATTTCTATTACTAAGAAAATAAAAAGTACTCATATTTGAGTCCAAATTATGCACAGAATAGAGCTCAAAAGACATTTAAAAATTAAAAGATACTACCTTTACTAATAAATTCACAAGGGAAACTGGCCCTATTTACATTCTATATTGTAGCTAATGATTAAATTAGTAGAATAAAGTTATGTTTTAGAAACTGATGCAAATACACTTAAAATGCATCTCCAATAGCCTACCTTGAAGTACCTCTGATAAGTTATAACGGAAGTCCTTTGCTTTGGCTGCATGCATGTAAAAACATGAAAATTGTTACTCATGCTTAACAATACAAATATTTTAAATGTTTTCTTCATGCATTCCCTAACAATATAGCGTTCACTATAACAATGAAAGCAGGGATCTACTCAGAAGTGTACCTCTCAATTAAAATTCTATTAGTCAATTAATCTATTGGGAGACAAATCACTTATAATAAAAATGAAAACCTCCAATGAAAGACAGATTAGAGGCAAGCACATTTTATTATTCTTTGCCTCTTTGCTCCCCTCTCCCACTCTAAAAAATGAAGCAGAAGCACAGACAATCCAACGGAAGGGAACAGGTCTTTTATGCAACACTATATACACAAGCAAGGGCACACTTTTTCAGGGACACATACACATCCTGTACTGGACTATAACAGAGAAAGGCCTTTATTCAAAATAGCCAAAAAGTAGAAGCAACCGAAATGTCCATCACTGAAGAATAAGTAAGCACACTAAAATATATCTATATAATGAAATATTATTTAGCCATAAACCAAACTAAGCACTAAATCTTGAAAACATGATAATGTAAGTATGAAGCAGAAAACACAGAAAGTCAGTCACTTATTGTGTGATTCTATTTACTATACACAACGTTCAAAATAAGCAAAACTCAGAAAAAATGTAGACCAGTGTTTATCAAAAGGAAAGGGGTGGAGAATTAGATATATTGAGGGTAGGAAACAGTGGAAATATCCAGAAATCACATAATCACAGTGGTTAGACAAAGTGGTGGATGTACTAAAATTCAATGAGCTGTGTATTTTTAAATATTTACAATACTGAATTGTACAAAAATGAGAATTTTATCTCAAATTTTAAAATTAAAACAATGAAGAATCATAAACATAAAAATAAGAAAAACTGCAACTACGGGAAAGTGGGAAAGGGTATACATAGAAGGCCACTAAGAGAAATCAACTTCAGAACAGCTTAGAGCCACATCCACCATGCACATGCATTTACACTCACACGTCACCTGCAAACACTCCATACACACGCACACTTCAAAGGAGACACGGGTGATGTGCTTTGAAAATTCTCTCTAAAGAAGGGTTTTTGCAAACTGTGTGGTTACATTACATTAATGGGTCTGTAAATAAATCCAGTGGTTCATGAAAACAAATTTTTTAAATTTGTAACATTACAAAATTTGATTAAAAAAAACTACAGAGTACAGCAGGTAGTGAGAATGAGTTTGATAAAACTCATTTTGATGAAATTTCTGTGTTATACATATAATATAAAGCTGAGTGTTATACATACATTATAAAGTATTTTTTATTGTTACAGGTCACATTCAAAGTTTAAAAAGCACTCCTCCAAGGTAACCCCAGAAGCATCACCTTTCACTTCTGTCTTGACAACTATTGAAAAGCTATGAAAGTATAGAAACAATATAAAATAGGTGATAACAAAATTTCATGATGCTAAGGATGTTATGTAACCTCTTACCAATTCACATAACAAACCATACAAAATTCTTACCTAGAACTTCTTCATAATCAACCAGATCAAACCAAACAACGGCTACTGAGGTCCAGACTCCCAGCAAGGCAATGACCATAAACCAGGTGAAAAAGGAGCTGCCAGAGAGTCCTCCTTTCCTGCCATTCTTGTGTCCTCCATGTTTTGTCTCTGTTTAGAAATAAATGTCAAATATTATCAACTAAGAAATACTGCACTGAACTCTTTCCACACTGAATTGTTTCTTCAGTAATTTCATAGATCATTTAAAAAATAATTCCGCTTAAGTTTTAAAATTATGTGATACATAGACTTTTAAAAAAAGAAAAGCTTTTGCTTAGACTCAATGCCATGTTCATAAATCCCAAAGTTTGAAGTAATGGAAGAAGCCAGATGTGGTGGTACATGCTTGTAATCCCAGCACTCAAGAGGCTGAGGCAGGAAGATAGTCACAAGATCCAGGCCAGCCTGGGCTACACGATGAGCTTGCATGAACTACACTGCAGGTGAGCTCTTGCTTTAAAAAAAAAGGTAATGTAAGATGAAGGGCTAATGATTTTATTAAAAATTATATTTAATGTAACATACATTCATTTCAAGTTCCTTATTCAACCACTTGCATACAAACAAAAGCAGGATAGAGCACGGTGTCCCTGTCTCTGACAAAATCCACTGGGACCAGTGGCAGAGGCAGAAAAAGGCATATTCTAGCTGACCTCACTACAGGAAACTGTTCCATGAACTGCTGCCCACCTAGAGTCATTCATCACATCTGATATGCTTAACATATTCTATGCTCTTTTGGAAATATACTTCAGATGATCAAAATTCAACAAATGTAATCTAATTAAATTGGTACTATACAAAAGAGGCAACATTTTTATTAAAAGACCATCCTTAAATTTCTCTTCAAAAGGAATGTAACACATATAAAATTAATGAATAAGTAAAAAGCTTATTGTACCTCAAAATGCCATTCAAGAAAAAGGAAAAGTTTTATCAACCTGCTAGAAAAATGAAACTGTACCATATCTGTGTAGCACATGGACTCTCTGTAAAGTACATTTTGTGCACTGTTGCATGTGTTCCTCATGGTATCTTGTCCTACTTTCTGCAGGAGGTATTTCTGGATGTTTAAGCCAGACAATGCTCATCTTAGACAATTGTTCCTCACACTGTAAGACACCTGACATTCCTGCTCTCCCGCCAGAACCCACAGTCCCTGAGTTTATGGAAAATTATATAGATATAGATATTATATATATATATATATATTTCCTCACGCCACATACTTCCCCCCCACATCGTATATGGGGCAGTACTTGGCTGAAAATCATAGGGTAAGACAGGAATAATCAAACACCTGTTTTGAAGATGATAGAAGGTGTCACCCAGTGTCACCAGCCAGTTGGACAGATGCAGAAATATCCCCTAACCTCCAGAGTCCTGATGTCCCTTGACTTGCACCAAGTGGCCAATGTAATGATTTACAAGATCCTACTAGTTCTAAAGCAGAACTGTCTTAGACTTTGATGTCCAGTTTTAAATATATTAGTAGTTTCCATTAGTTCTAGTCAAGAATAAACTACCAGTATATTTTTCTGAAGTAATAAGTGAAATTGTACTGGTAAAAAGGATATGTACAAGCTGGGCATGGTGGCACAGGCCTATAATCCAGCACTTGGGAGGTTGAGGCAGCAGGATCATTGCAAGTTTGAAGCCAGCGTGGGCTAAAAAGTGAACTCAAGGCCAGCCTGAACTGCATAACGAGACCCTGTCTAAAAAAAGACCAAAAAAAAAACCAGATATGTACATTTTTAAACCTATCACTAGATCAACTTTTTGAAAAAGGCCATAAAAACTAACTCGGTCTGAGGCCACACGTATACTTGTATAGAGTCAAAAGTAAACAAACATTTCATTCTTGAAAAAGTTCAATAATTCCTTTTACTAATAGTCTTTAAATATTAATGAGCACATCAAAATGGAACAGATTCCCAAATAATCCTATGGTGAAAAATATCCTTACCAAGTAACACATGGCTGTCGACTTTGTTTCTAACACAATTTTATAAATGTTGGCTACATAAAAACATAATTTATACATTAAAATATTTGCTAGAGACAGATCACATTTTTGTATATTAAATCAATTTAAAGTGCACATCATTGTTTTATTATCTGAAGAGATATGGGAAGGGAAGACTGGGTAAAAATTTCCATAACATTGATAAGAAGAAATGACTTCCAATATTTTAATGTGTCTTAAGTGCATGGATTATAAAAAGAACAATATACACTACATTATCACTAGAATTTTGAAAATTAAAAGAAAAATGTGAGTAGGCATCTGCTGTGATAGGAAGCTCCACAGATTGAGTAGTATTATTGCATTGAATTTATTAAAATTTTCTGAACATGAAGACATTTTTTAAGGCTATGACTCCTCAAAAAACACTCTGTTTCTATATAGCACAGATGCATAGAGATCCCTTTGCATATAGTACTAAAAAATTCCAACAGTGAAGCCTTCTAAATATCCATTTACTTCCAAACAAGAAGCTATAATAATGCCTCAGAATTTCTTCCCTTGGCTACTTCTTGTTTCTAAAAACCAAATTCAAGTTTAAGTTGTAGTAAAAGTGGGTTCTCATTTTCTCTCAGACATTCTATAACTAATAGCAGATTATTGTTTTGTTCCTCATCAACTGGAAAACAGGAAGGCTAAAAATAGTTCATTCTTTTATTCATTCATTTAATATATTCAGCCTATACATGACATTATTACTCAATTATTAAGCTTTAAAGATGTGCATGTGGGTTAGGGATTTAGTTCAGCAGCACAGCACCTGCCTGGCAAGCACAAGGTCCTGAGTTTGATTCTCAGTACCAAAAAAAAAAAGTGCATGTTGATAACAGTACATCCAAAATGACATTTAGTGACATTTAAATGACACTTAAAATGAACCGAAAATATAGTAACTAATAAAACAAATTAGTATCTTGGATTTGAAGTTCAACTCTCCTTTTCTTTCTCTACTGGTTTGGTCTGAAATAGGATCTCATTATGTTGCTCAGGCTGGCCTTGGACCTGTGGATTCAAATGATGTTCATGGCTCAGCCTCTCCAGTAGCTAGGACTACATGCATGACGCATGGCATACAGCTTCTCTCTCTTGCTCTTAATACAGAAATGAAAGAAAAAAATTTCTAAGATTCTCAAAAGCAAAATATCACTTATCCAAAGTAATAACACTGATGTTACTTACTGAAGATCACAAGGAAGAAGAAAGAGAAAATCAAATATACAATTATACAGGGTAGACTTTAGGGCCAAACTCACCCAAATTAGTTAAAAGCATGCAAAAGTCCCAGTGGGAAAAAAGCCTAAATAGGACACAGAAACAAGAACTACATGTGCAGTGGTTATGGAGAGGTCATTTATTTTGAGGCCTGCAGACAAGACCCTAGTAGGCCTTAAAATAATCTTAGTACAAAGTAATCTCTAGAATCATCTGTAAAACAAACATTCATATTGATTCTGCCATTAAAATGCTATTTTAATGTTTAATAATTTAAAACATGCATAATCAATCTTAGATTTTAATCAAAGTAGCTGCATGAGATACATTTATCACTTTTAAAAGATACACAATACTCACCTAGAATATTAAAGTATCAGCAATATTTTATAACCTTACAATGTCATATAAATGATGTATTTTCTAGCATTACGAACACATTACTCTTAATATCTGCTGATCCTGGAAATGAACCAAATACTAAATTACAGAAAAGGAGCTTTTTGAAGAAATCCTTTTTAGGGAAACTACTTTGGACAGCAAAAATGCTCTTAATATATCCTTCAATAAATATGATGTGCCAGTCGCAAAGGGTAGATCAGTTTCTGTTCAATTGAATTAAAGAAAGCATGGTAGAAGAAACCCTTTCCAAGGGCTTAAACTCCCTACAGAAACCTATATTCTGCAAGAACAATTAACAGTTATCCCAGTTTTCAAACAAAATTAAAACTAACAGAGTGTCTTATTTTCCTTTTCTGGCTCCATGTCAACCTGTAGCACCCAGGAACTGATCAAGAACTTTTACTGGAGTGAAGAAAACAGGAAGGACTATGTGACTTTTCTCCCCCTGTTGTCACATCAAACATACATCATCTTCAAATTGCAGAAAGGGAGTATAGAAAATGTTCCCACACACAGTACTACTAAACACAAAAAACTATTACAGCAAGCAATAGTACCACGAATTCAAAAGGAAGATTTTCCAAGATGAAGACTCAGTTAGGGACAACAGGAAATTTTACTTACTTGGTGGAGAAAAGAGAAAACAGAAATTTGCCTACACTTGTACTGTTGCCAAGTACATTAAAAGTATAATATTAACTGAATTACAGATCAATCATTTGGAAAATTTAGTATAATGGTGAAGATTTCATATTTACACATAAACTTTTTGAAATTTTTTTAAATGTAACTGACAAATAACTCATTAAATGTTTTTTGTGGTATGAAATGTCACTCTTTGAAAACCTGCAACTATTAAAAATAGGGCACAAATAAAAGCTGATTTTATCTAAGTAGATTACAAAATGAAAGAAGGGAAGAAACATCTTGTAAAAGAACTAAAAATTCACATATATGTCTCCTTGTGTGTGTATGTATACGTGGTTTTCTGAGACAGTGTCTCACAGTATAATTCAGGCTGGCCTTGAATTCACAAATGTAGTTCACACGATCCTAAGTGCTGGGGCTACAGGCATACACCATCACACCCAGTCATTCATGTATATAAAAATCATGTTCTTCTTCATGAAGAATGACATACTTTACCAGATTAGGTAAGCAGTCTGTTCTAAGCACTTAAACAATCTTCAAAGTGGAGATACTCCCATTTTTGTGTTAATAGTAGAATTCTTTTATTTATTGCTTTAACAGCTGAGAGTTAAAAGCAATCTTTAAACATTCATCTTTTCTTACATATTTTCAACATAACAAGCCAATGTAATCTACTTTAAATTTCACAGAAAGACAAAACTTTACACAAAGTAAAACAAAAGCAGATATATACAAAAAGCCAATTAAGATCATCATTAATGAACACTTGAAAGTAAAATACTCAATTTTAAAAAGAAAGTAAAATTTGAGTCTCTTG